TCCCTCATCTCCATTCTTCTTGTCTCCTTGTTCACTCCCCTATCCATCCATTTCTCCTTGTCTTGACCTCCTTATCCTCTTCCCCCCAAATTTGATCTCTTTAATGTTATTGATCCCAAAGATAAGGTTCTAAATGCTAGTTTGATTAAGTCTATCAACTTTATTACATGCCAATACTCTTAGAAATAACAAAATTATCTAATTATATAAATTTCATAAAATCAAATTTCCAGCAAAATGAAGGATGATGTTAATTTCACTTTTTTTATTAGTGCTCTATTTGATTAACAATGAATACTTAAGTATACTTTAAAAATAATAGAAAAATCTTAGAACATTCCACTATTAGTTGAAAAACTTCATGACTGGAAACACAACACTATTACAAGCATAATTTTAAAAAACAAAACAACCATAGTTAATTCTTTATAAGACAAACTTTTGTGATAGATTCAATTATGTTTAAGAAACTAAAATAGAAAGTAGTTATAATATTAATAATAATGATAATATCAAAAAAAATCTCATTTAATCAAATATAATCTTTTAAAAAATAGCAGCCACAAGTGGACAATATTTCCAATAAGCTTAACCAAATATCTTTTTTTGAATTGTTGGAGCTTTATAAAACTTTAATTTTAATTTCATTGAATAATAGTTATCTACAATTGTAAGTAGGTTCACACTTTATTTATTTATTTATTCATAGATCTAAAGGATTATTTGTGCCTCCCTCCTCTCTCCTCCCTTCCCTTTCAAGAACAAGGACAAGAAGAAATGGAATTGTGACGATGAGATGAGGACAAGGGCTAGGAATGGGGACTAGTAATAGAGACTAACAACAGGGACTAGGAATAGGAATTGAGAACAAGGATAAGGGCTAAGAATTGAAATAAGGGCGAGAGAGGGAGAGAGATCAAGACATAGAGACATAAGGGTCAATACAAGAATGGAAACAAGGACTAAAAATGAGTCATTGGAAATTCTAGATTTAGGTATGATCTATGTCCAAATATTTCTTAATAATGGTTAAGATAGTTGGGTTGATTTAGTAAATGTTTGGGTCAACAAAACACTCTTCTTAAAAAAATTCCAAACTATCATTAATTTTAAAATATTAAAAAAAATCTCATTATGTTTAATAAAAATTATTTTTAATACCAAAGTATTGTTTAATGGTGCCATGGAAGTCTTACAAATCACATAAAAAGCAAAGATTCTATGTAGAATAGTAGTAAAACATTGTTAACATATATCTTGAATCTAATTGTGATATTTTTACAAGAAATAATTTTTTAATAGTTTTTTTTAATTTTATGTTTATATTACTAATATGAATTTTGCAATAAAAGTTTTTATATTATATTATGATCAATCATGAATATTTAAAAAAATTAATATAATCATTTCAAGAATTATTTAAAATATCTTTATATTTATGATTATTATATATGAAATAAATATCTACAAATTACATTAAATAACTATTAAGATGTACTGATTTTAGACTTTGTAGTATATATGAATATAATATTAAAATATAATATTTTTATTCTTATTAAAAACTTTAAGTTCATCCAAATTATATGCATGTTTTAAATTTATTATAAATATAAGTAATAAAAATTGTAATAATTGGTAGCTTTAGAAATTATGCTTTAATTCTAATTGTACATAAATATTTATATATTATGTAATTATACTTGTATTTATACTTATATTGAGGGCCACCATTTTGCTTTAGGAGTAACATGATAATGATAAAGCAAGTTATTATTATATAATGATGTGCCTTACAATAATGAATTACGAGGCAAACAAACTTATTAATAAGAATCATATAAAGATAAATATTCTAATAGTACAAAATCATGATTATAATAATTAGTATTATAAAAATAAAAGTATAAAATATAAACATAAAAAAATACATAATTTTCTATAAATATATAAAATAAAAATTACAACAAAAAAAGAATATAATATAGTATAAAAATCAAATAATTTGGATTTGAAGGAAATCAATAAAGATTCAATTTCTAGAGCAATATTTTGAGTAGAAGCATAGATATTAGACAAAGTTCTACTACTAGGAACTTAGCTTCTTCTAAGGTTGATGCTACACTATAGACATAGATGAAAGGAGAAGAAGTACCTCCATAGGGCAACTAAGTATTGTGTTAGGAGATTGCATTTCTTTCTATAAACTTCATATTCTAAATCTTAAGTAATTTTTAGTCTTGTTATGTATAAAACATTGATTGATTGTATAGATCTTTTTGTTATTATTGTTATTATTATTATTATTATTATTATTATTTTAATAAATACATTAGTGTATAATTCATTGTATATAAGAATTGTACACAATATATTAAAGGTGTGATTTTACTATAAATTAGGTTTAAGTAGAATTTATAAAAGAAATATACAATGGTGTACAATAGTAATAAAATATACAATGAATATGATAGTAATAGAAAATAAAAAATAGAATATGGAACTTACCATCATTGTTTGAGCCACTTTGTTTACAATGTTTCATTGTTCATAGAGGTTGTTATGGTTCTACCAATTGATGACAACATTAATTAATTTGTAAAGTTTAAACTTGTCCCTGGCATTGTTAATATTTCGTATTGCATATGAGTTTGAGATGTTTTCGATTTGTGTTAGAGGACGTCCATCTTATATCTTTGTTTTAGCATTTAAGAATGAAAGCACCGAAACACCAGTCCAAGTTGGTTTCTTGCATCTTTACTTTCAAATTTTGCATCCAAGGATTGATCTTTGCTCAGACTACAAAAGGTTATTACTCACCAACTAATCCGCACTAAGGAAAAACTTCGACTGCTACTTAAATGACCAAGGTCCGATCAGTGTGGACACCTCGCGACCATCCACAGTAATTCAACTTCCCATTTCCACACAGAAAGGAGGTAGAAGGAACTAGGTTTTCAAAGATAGGGATAATCCAAAATACCGTGAGCCAAATTCATACATATCATCCAACCATAGAATAACTTCTTTTTTCCATACAGAATTCGACAAAAACAGGAGAATGAGGATAAAACAGAACAGACTTAAGAACACACCATGACCACTTAAATGTCGGCATTCCAGCCCTTTCACTTCATAAACTAGGTAAGATGGCGCTGCAGAAAAAGATCACAACCAAGCAATCTAAACACATGGATATCGCTGTGGACACAATTCCATCCATCTCAACCCCAGATTAGAAAGCTCGTCCTGGTTAAGTACTGCCCAAGAAACTCTCAGGGAGATCCTGACACCGTATTAAAGGTAACGTAAACCAGGCCCTTCAAACTCACTTTTAGCACGTAAATGAATCGCATGGAGACACAATGTCGGACCGTTGAGATGTACCATACAAACATTTATCTCAGAAATCCTTGACACATCGAACGAAATTAGCGGCAATATATACCGCGGTCGATTTGAGGAGGAATCGGTTTGATCTCTGTGCCGAGCTCTTGTTCGATTCGGTACCTAATCCAGATTAATGTCAATCAGTATGCATATAGCTTGTACCTCATCTCTCTGATGAAAAATATACTAGTACGAGGTGATAAAATTTACATTGAGTTCTATTAGACTTCTGTGTGGACTTCTGTGCACAAGAACTCTTTCCCTTGAAGCTCAGACAGAGAATAAAAATAAGAACAAACTTGTGTCCCAACTTTTTCTCAAAACCTAGATAAAATACAATACGGGATTACTGAGGCCAGCGAGTAAGAAAAGGAACTGTTCAAATTAAGCATCAGTGCATAGTTAAGTTTTACTCACAAGTTAAACCGGTCTTCATAGGTGATAAGGTTCACCGCCAACCCGAGATGACCGAACCTCCCTGAACGGCCGACCTGTGACAAGGAGCAACAATATCTTTCAGAATCCACAACAGAATATACCATGAATAAATAAGTGACAACAAACTAATTTGATCAGAGATAGAATTGAACACGTCATCTACCAAGTTTTTAAACGACTAGGATAGAATTTATTGCAAAAATTGAGATGGACGTAGAACAAAAACAAAATGGAACTTACTCTGTGAAGATACGTCTCAGAATTTTTCGGGAAGTCAAAATTAATGACAACATTCACAGCCTGAATGTCAATTCCTCTTGTAAACAGATCTAGTCAAAGACATCATCCACACGTTTGATTTCAGCCAGACTGAAATGATCATCTGAAAATAAAGGAAACTCGTAGAGTCTATATTAGGCAAAGCAGTGAATAAGATAGACCGTGGAAGGCTGCTAAATTCAATAAAATGTAAAGTGATCTCTTCGACATGAATCATCTTTGAAATGCATAGAACAGTCTAAAAGTCATCTCAACATCAGGCTTTTCTAGGCTTCTCACATATGGTTTTGACTAGTAGTAATATGTAATAAAGATAGGGAGAGCGCTGTTACCTGAGGAGACGAGATTTCGGCAAGCTCCATTCCTGAAATCGTGAAAAACTCTGTTACGATGTGACTGTAACATCTTCGCATGGATGTAGAAACAAGAATATCCAAGTTCAGTGATCTTCTTGGCCAGTAATTCCACTCGGTTCACTGAATTGCAGAAGATGATCGACTGATTAATTTGCAACTGCAAATCAACACAAAGCGCAGACTGGTTACAATTCCAAACATGTTCCAAGTGCACTGATCAAACTTGATCAAGAACACGCAATTTGAGAAATCGATAATATATCAACGAATTCCATGACCCCCGAACATACTGCGGGAACCTAAGATGTTCATGTTCCATAAAAAGCACTCTCCAGCCGTTAACACACTATTTTGAAATAACGGTTAAGACCCAAAGGATAGTTAGGCCCTGCAGATAATCCGTCTGGTATAGATCAAATAAGTAAGGCCCCATAAACTACATTCTAGCTAAATTTGGCTACACGAACCACGCAGCCAAGCTGTGTCAAAGATAAAAGTTCCATGAAGTACCTTGGAAAACAAAGTGTTCAGACAGTGGACTTTCTGCCTTTCTTCCACAAACGCATAGTACTGGGTGATACCCTTCAAGGTCAGCTCATCCATGAGATTGATTACGTACGGTTTCCGCAAGAATCTGTCTTTGAATGACTTAACTGTGACTGGAAATGTAGCAGAATATAACAAAATTTGGCGGTTCTCAGGCAGGAAACCGATCAACTGCTCCACAAGAGGCTGGAACTCTGGCGAGAGAAGTTTGTCAGCCTGCACAAGAAATACATCTAAATAAAAAAAATTTAAAGCGCAAATTTGACACCTGTAATTTACATCAGCTTACATGAGCCTCATTCAAAATATATATTAAAACCGGCATCGTTTGAGAAATACAAACACCACGAATATCACACTAAGAAAATGAACATATCCTCCAGAGTTTGATGTCGTGCTGCAGGAAATCATTCTCGCATCGATGTGGAAGTACCCTGAGGAACAAACTGACCATAACTTCCACTTCAACAGTAGATTCTAGCGTTGAAAGTTGAAAGGGAATGTGCTTGTCAAGGTTGTAAAGAGAAAAAGTTGGAGCTCAACTTACTTCGTCCATCACCAACATAGTACATTCTTTGAGGTTGCAGACTCCCTTGTTGGCAAGATCTAGGACACGGCCAGGTGTACCTACCAACAGATGAACTGGCTGATACAGGCGCATGATGTCATCACGAAGACTTGTACCTCCCGTGGTTACCATTATTTGTATGTTCAAATGTTTAGCCAGCTCTTTGCACACTTGAGAAGTTTGCAAAGCGAGCTCCCTTGTCGGTACTAAAAGCAAAACTGTAAGCAGAACCAAATTGATGTATAAGATGAGTAAAAAGAATGTGACTTCCACAAACGAGTTTTGTCTACTACCCCACTTTAATAAAAAAATAATTAAAAGGAGCGTTTAAAAGTCCAACAAAGTATACTACAAGTCTTTCAACAAAAATACAATCGTAACTTGAAGCTGATTCTGAGACCGCATTATTGCATTGAACACAACTCAACCTTATGCTGGAGACAGAAATTCGTTGTGAGGAGGATGTGAGTTACAGAAGAGTACGGCACCTTGAACTGCATTCTTATTCTGGTCAATTTTCTCAATTGCAGGAATGCAAAAAGCTGCAGTTTTCCCTGTGCCATTCTTTGCTCGTGCAAGAATATCACTTCCTGTCAAAGCAATCGGTATACTTTCTTCTTGAATAGGAGAAGGTCGTTCAAATCCCTTCTCATAGATACCCATCAAAAGCTCACGCTTGAGGAAGTAGTCCTCAAATTCATTACCCTTCGTGGCAGTTACATCCTGCAACGACGAAGTTCTATCAGCGATGTAGAATGAAATTCAAGAGAACAACTGCCTGGAATCATTGATCATATCATAACAAGATTCATGCCTCGCTGTATTTTGACAAAGTCAAATCTGAATTCACCAGCACATTATACTCGCAGAATATATCTTGATTTTGAACATATAACCCTTTGCATTCCAGTCTAATATTTTTGTCCATACTAGGGAGCATATAAGGATATATCAGAATTCGAAGAACTTCATGTTATTCCCACCTCGGTCTTGTATCGAGCATCTGGAGGTGGTAGCTTGAGTTGTGCTTTCCAGTCTTGCGAACTAAAACACATAAGTCCAGATAATCAGAATTAGGAGACTTTACATGGGACAATAGCGAGCTGCAGTTATAACAACTACTAATAGTGCCTCCACATAGGAATAAGTCGCAAGAAAGAGCTGGTACAAAAGCCATTTACAGCAAAGCAAAGTCCAGGAACAAAAAAAAAAAATCTACGCGCATTAAAATCGGTTACCACAGAATGGGCCAACGCATTTATGAGTTTCAATTAAGGACGGCTGGCTCTTGTTGAGTTTTGGACCATGTAAGTGGAATGTACATATGCGTTGTAGATGTGAAATGTATGCAGGATGTAAACATGCGTGCTCGAACAAGATTAGCTATCAAAGCTTATTATTCAGTCGCTTAAACGTTAACCTAACGAACAAAGAACCTCGCGATGGCATGCGCAGAACCGCATGCCTAAGAAAAGAAACCTAAGACCTCATCTCAATCCACTCAACTCCCGTCAGCTCCAACCCTAAACCATCCACAAAAAACGGAAATGACCTATAATCAACAAATTGATCAGATGACGCCGTACTTGTTGTTGTTGACGCTGCTGTTGTTGTTGCTGCTGAGGATATTGCCGCTGTTACTGCTGTTATGCCTAGAAACATTTGACGATGAGGAGGCTTTGGGAGCTGTCGGAGCAGGCCCGGCCCTAGAAGTGGCCATCATGGCCCCCCTGCTTCTCTATCTGATCTGAACCTCGCGAGTTTCCCCTTGTGGGAAGCCACCTTCCTCCGCCGTCCCTCTACCCCCCGCTACTTTCTCGTCCTACCACTGCGACCCTAAAGCTAAACGCGGACTGGCTCTCAAGCTATGCCCTCCAAACACACAGCAACAACGCAACGCAACGCAACGCAATGGAAAGAAGATTCTGTGAAGGCAGAAGTTCCAAAGCACGAAGCCCTCGCTCCAGCCTCCCCCCTCCCTTGCTCCAGCAACCCCCCTTCTCTGTCTCCCTCCCTCGCCCTCCCTCCGTCCCTCTCTCGCTCCCTGCCTGCTTGCCTGCCTTCCTGCCCCCCCCCCCCCCCCCCCCCTCCTTTCCCATTCCCCTTCTCTATCTCACTCTCGCGTGGAACCCCGCACTTGACCGCGTGCGAAACCACACGGTGCACCAAACCTCTCCTCCGCAGACCTAGAGAGAGCCTGAACTCCTCCTTCTGTTGCTCCCTCCACATCTGTTGCTTGTCACGTGAAATTCATAGTACAATTCATTCATGCATATGTACACATACATTTTATTATTATATTATCTATTTACTTATTTATTAGCAATGATTACATTTTATTGTTGTAGTTGTTGTTGTTATTTTCATCATCTTTGTTGTTGCATCTAGGTTTCTTGCAACTATACTGTGTCCATCATCTATAGTTGACAATTATAAATTTTCTTTTGTAAAAAATAATCACTCCATTATTGTATTTATTTGTTTAGGATAAAAATTGAATTTTTTATTTTGAATTCCACAATGAAAACTTCATACATTATACAGTTTTATTTTTTTCATACTAAATATTTTATATTTGAAGTTATAAGAGATAACAAAAATTGGTAGTCTCAAACAAAAACAATATATATTAATTTTAAGACAACCATATAACTATGAGTAAAAAAATGTTTTAAAAATAATTTGTGATAGTCAATTTAAATTAAGAAAGTTTTTGACATATTGATTTAAATGGAAAAAAAAATAAAAAATAAAAAATAGAACCAAATCTTGGAAGATAACAAAAAAGATTTATGGAAAGAAATATTTTCTTTTGAAATTTAATATATTAATTAAAAAAAGGTAAATAAAAATTATTATTATATTATTGATAAACAATTATTATTTTGAGAACGTCCATACATCAAATAATTTTATTGAAAGAAATTCACGCCACACATACAAGAATTGTTCATTATAAGACAGCTTGAACCGAAAATAAGAGAAATATTAGTCTACTTCCACTACTACCATGCTGAGACGCACATAACTTGCAAGGATTCTCCACGACATATCCATCCATCACGATAACCACATTGGAAGCAAAGCGCATCAGTCGGGCGCCACCTTTCAATTGAAAAGTGCAGGAAGAAGGGCTGATCAGAAAGCATTGAGGAAAATAACTTGAGGGAAACAAAGAGAAGGGAGAATGGGGGGAGGAAATGAGATATTGATTAAGAAAAGCTTGTTTGTGATTTCTCCGCCACTTCTAGCAGTTGGGTACACCTCCCTTTGATTCTACAGGTAAAAAGCAACAACATGGGAATGGAGTGGCGATAGACAGATGAGCAAACAAGTGTGCTTTTACTGAGCAGAAACCGAGACACAAAGGCGTCATTTTTTTCGTTTTTCGTTTTTTGTTTTTTCTCCGCATCACCTTTGTGGACGCTGAAGGACGCTCACTGCTGTCAACAAAATGGTTTTTTGGGTGTGCGTCGTTGCTTGTTCACTCCCCTCGTCTTGAAGAGCTCCTGGACCACTCAATCAGTCCAAGCATTGGTCCTCTGATAACGCCAATCACCACTAAAAATCTTAGATGATTTTGTTGCACTTACGTTGCTTCGTCGGTCGGATTTTCCACTTTCTTTTATAATATTGAAAAATAAATAAATAAATAAAAAATAAAACACACACACACACACACACACACAGAAAACACAAAACAAAACAAAACAAAAACCTGCCTTTGGAGGTCACCTTGTCTTCTCGCCACCAAGCTCACTGCCTATAGATTCAAGCGCTGGTGAGTTGACCTTTGTTTTGCGAGCAGATTTGGGTGAGCATTTATTGAGTTCAAAGAGTTTTGTAGCCAGATTGTGGGTCAAAGTGGGTGGGAGCTGGTGGCTGGTTTCAGTTGCCTCGATGCGACGTGATTCTGTGGGTTGAAATCTGTTGCAGACGGATATATTGTGGGATTTTTCTCACAGGGTTTGAATAAGTGATTTAACACCTGAGACGTCGCAGTGTGAAGAAGATGGCAAGAGACGAGACGACAGTCAAGGCTCCACGGTTTGTTACGCACCGATTTTCTTTTCTCTCAGCGTGAGCCATTCTTTTAATGCTTGGAATTGTCACTGAAGTGCTCGAACTGGGAATCCGGAATGCAGGAAGGTGGTAGATCACGTGGTATTGCTCTGGATGAAGGACGAGGTCACAGAGAAGCAAGAGCAGCCGGCATGTGGTGAGCATATTAATAAGCGTGGCGATGCAATCAATGAGTAGATTAAGAAGCTAGACATGAAGTTGTTCAGGTGTCTGGAGCAGATCAAGAAGACTCGGCTGGGCCCTGCGCAAGAGGATGTGAAGGACAGGGCTGGTTGAGAACAGGGATACTGGACATGGGACTAGGAACGGAGATGGGAACAGGGAAAGGAGATGGAGGATGGACGTAACTACTCATAAGATGGCAATACGGGTGTGGCTTTAACAAGTAATTATATATATATATATATATATATAAATTCAAATCTTATTGCATCTGTGGTCCAACCATCAAATTCTTGCCAAATTCTTATTCAACTTAGCCACCAAACCTCAGTAGATATAATGATGCAAACATTAATATCAAAATTTATGATTTTTCTTTTGGAGAATACAATAGTTTATGAAAAAATCTACTCATGCACCAACTCATTGACGTTAAAGAAGGTTGAAAATGTTTCTTTCAAAGACATCAACAACTTAACACAAAGTGTTATTTTACTACAACATAACAATCCACATTGTAAGCATAATTTACTATTATTATTATTATATATTACATAAATTTTAATTATTTATAAAGATTATTTTTCTCAATCCATAGTAAAGAAACTATTTTCTTTCAAAATCTAAAATGAAATTATTTTACTTTTTTTTATAATTAAAAAATACATTCTATTCATTTGAAATAGCATTATAGCCTTAGATATTTAAAAATTTCTTCAACTAACATCCTATGCTAATAAAATGTGATTTTGACATCTTCTAATTAAACCATTTTGATTTATATTATTATTTAAAAAGGTGATATATATATATATATATATATATATATATATAAAAATTTACTTTTAAACTCAAATATGTTGAAATTCTTATTAAATAAACAAATTTTCTAAATTTTAGTATAATATATATTATATTAATATGTCCTAAGATTATCTAAAATTAAAAAAATTATACATCTTTGTTTTTGTAATGTACCTAATTAATAGTCACATCTTGAAATTAACAACCAATAATTAAAGATAATCAATAAAAAGAACTAACAATATTATTTTAGTTATTTTATTTTAATTTTATTTTTAACTTATGAAAAATTATAATACAAGTTAAAATTAAAAATACATACCTTCATTTCACACCATAATTTTTTTTAAAATAACTATATTCATAATGATTTAAAAAAATTAATATAATTCTTTTGAACCATATTAAAAATTATATTAGATATTATTTTAAAAATATTCTTCTAATTATATTATTATTATTATTTTTTTTATATATAATATTTAAAAATATTATCTTTATGATTAAAATATAAAAAATTATAATTAAGATATTTGTCATTTTAAAAACTTAGACAATAAATACATCTAAAGTTTTTGTTTATATAAATTCCTTTAATTGGATAAATTTTATATTTAATATTTCTTTAATTTTAGAATAATAGTTACAAATCCAATTACATATAACATATGAAATATAATTCCTATTTGATCACTCATTCCAAACCATAAATAAAACATAAGGTCAAAAAATTGAAACAAAACTAGAGAAGTATGACACAAATGTGTGAATATTTCATATAAATCCTCTAACTATTTTATATGGTACTTCAAATATTTTTTATGATAGGATTTTTAATTTCTTATGATTAAAATCTACCTAATAATGCATTAAATTCTTACCTTGCATTCTATCAAGCAAAAACCATATTACAAACTTTGAAAAAAGTTAGTGCCTCCAACCACTTTAAAAACAATAATCTCAACATATGAAATTTTACTTTATCATAAGTCAATTTGAATATTTTTATATTTATATTTCTAAATTTTAAAAATATTTATTAAACTATGATATTAATCTAAATCAATTCCAAGATTAGATTCAATAAAACAAATTTATATTAAATCTTTTTTTTAAATTAAAAATATAAAATTCTATTAAGTAGGTTAGATTAAAAGAAAAAAATTGTCATAGATATACTATACAAGTAACCAAATAAGAGGTTGAACGAAAGTGTTCTAACAAGACAACTAACAAGAATTTAATAAACCAGATGAGTATAAGATCAACACCAAGAGAGGTGAGCTAGAACTTCAAAAGATGTGTTTTCAAGACTAAGGATCTCCTCCATCTCAACTTTAATATATATAAGGTTTTAAGAAGCTCCTCAAGAAGTTCCCATATTGTTTCAAGATGAAGCACCTTTAAAAAGTACTTCAAAAAGTTTTCCTATTGCTTGAAGATGAAGCAACTTTAAGAAGTTCTTCAAGAATTTTCCTTGTTGCTTAAAGATAAAGCAATCTTAAGAAGCTTCACAAGAAATTTCTATGCTACTTGTAGATAAAGCAATCCTAAGAAGCTTCTCAAATAATTTTCTTAATCCTCCTAAAACTTTTTAGAACCTAATAAAATATTCTAAAAACCTTCTAAAACCTTCTAAAAATCTTCTAATAATATTTTAGAAAATTTTGAAAACTTTTAAAATCTAATAGAAAATTTTAAGAATATTTCTAAAATCCACTTATTGGATGTCTCTAATATCACCTCTCCTTCTAATTTTGAGTTCCTCAAAGAGTATTGATTTCATATCTACTTTCTTTGATATATATAATATCTTATTACTAACTTTAAAGAAAAAAGTCATTTCAAAATAAGTTTAGGTTTTTGAAGATAGTGTTGATGAAACTTTCATATTTTTTGCAATGTATTAACTAGATTTTCTATTAGTTACCACATACACTTATTAATATTGTAGCTATGCCAATGAATAAAATATTTTAACTT